CCAGGCAAAGATGCCTCCACGGCTTTAGTTCCCTGCAACCGCTGACGAGCTTAGAGGAGGATTTCTTTTGCCGTGCCATGTTGATGCCCATTACAATGAGATGGGTTGCTGGGTGCCCGTGCCTCGCTCGCCACTGCGGAGATGGCTGGACAACTCACTCGCAGAGGGGTAATAAAAGCATCTGCTGAAGCTGCAAGTTGCCGCTAACGTCATCATCATCATCCGCATCCACAAAAGAAAAAAATTTCTTCTTTTTTTTTCTTTGCAGGGCTGTAAAGAGCAGTTCCGGGCTAAGAATAATAATAATAATAATAATAATAAAGGTAGAAATCACAATGCCACGCATTTTTCCCCACCATTGTTCTGACACGTGGACATTTCCCCTCGCAGCCTCTCTGAGGTAGCTATACCCCTCGGATAGGACGGATGCATCCCTTCTTGTCCTCCTCGTGGTATGGAAATAAACAACCGCAATTTTTTTTTTCCCTCTTATTCTGCGTTCTCTCTTCGTGATGCGCCTACAGTACATTTATGCCATGTGAGCAGACACTGTCCTTCCCTGTGAATGTCCCTTTTACAAACCTCGTTGACACCTTCACTTGCACTGAACTCTTCGTGGCGGATACTAACAGTTGCATCGGTTTCCAGCATTACAAGTCGGCGCATCGGTTAAAACGCCTCCGTTTCCGTTGTGCACCTCAGCAAGAGCAAAAGAAAGACGTCACTGCTAGCATCGTCATCCGCCACAAAGCAGATACCCGTTTCAGAGGCTCCTGACAACGCCGCCCCGGTTTTGGGCAAGGCTTCATTTTGCTTTGCTATTTTGCCAAGGGCCAACGCAAAAAAAAAAAGAACGTGTTTCTTCTCTTCAAACAATCCCTTCGTTCTTTTTTTCCCATTTCCAGCACTTCCGCAGCTACTACCCTCACTTCTATCGTCCATGGTGCAAAAAAGTGCAAAAAAAAGCGGGGGTCAGTTTTTTCAGCACAGCTGTTCGGTGGCAAACATGTACCGTGTCATACGCGGAGAAAAGCAGCTGTGCAGTAAAGAATATTTAAAGAATGTTTATATATATATATATATATTAAATTCTAGCCAAGGGCAAAATCAACAAAAAAAGGCTTTGCGTCAAGGTGTAAGTAAAAACCCAACATTCATTAGAGTACACACATGCACACACCTGCACATTCACAGAGTGAGACATTTATTGAAGGTTTAATAAATGTGCAGCTTTCAACAACAACTGGCGTATTCCAATTCAAAGTGGAATCGTCGTGGCCTTTGTACGTGGGTCCCTAGAACGGTACATAAGAACATACGCAATGTGCGCCTCACCAACGCCACTCAGACGCTTGACGTCTTCCTCTGTCACGGAGGCCACGTGCTCATCATCGTAGACAAACCACTGATCCTCAGGCTTACCCCAGAAGACGTAGTGCCCACTCTCTGCACTCCGGCCCTTGTGGGAAATAACACCACAAAGTTCATAATAACCGCTCTTATTGCCAATGTTATGTGCGTCACCTGCCATCGCCCCAGTTGACACCTCTTCTGCGTTTGTGGTAACGTCAAATTGTGTCTTTTGTCGGGCTTGACGACGTCGCTCAAGCTCCTTGTCTCGCCGAGCCAACACCCTGCCTCGTTCCTCCTGCATGCTTTCCTTTAGTGCATCCGTACAGAGAGTAAAGGTATCTAGTACCAGGGGGAAGGAGACTGGCTTGAGTATTTTGGCCTTCTTTTGAGTATCTGCCCTCCATGAAAAACGCACAAGATGCACAAAAAGATACTCCGGCAAAATGCTGATTCGGCTTGTGCGTGAGTAAAGTACTTCGCGTGCCAACTTTTCCGAACGGACGGGGATTGTCTCATTAAAGGATGCATACAATCCAGTCTCCAGCATCTGTACCTCTGCATTGATATTGCAAGATAACATGAGGAATGGCAAGTCAGACGCCTCGGACACGTCATCGGGGATTTCTTTGCAGACGGAAGTCCGTTTCATCGTCCCACTAAAAAGATTTTTGTGTGTTTCTTGAATCCCATTGTTAAGTTGCTGAAGAATTGTGTTGAGAACTTCCTGCGCGTCGTGCTGCATCGGATGGCCATGTTCGTCAACCTCCCCAAAGGTGGAATTTTGCATGATCAGGGCATTCCAAAAGAGCAACGGGGTGACAGGGTCTTTATTGGCTTCCATCGTCTTGTACAGCTCGCCCATTGAATGAAGCAACGTGTCATTTTTACGTGACTGGAGCAACTCAATCAACTCAGGCACAAGATGAAGCATTTGAACTGCCGCATTCATGTAACATGTATTTGCAATGTTTCTCAATCCTGTAGGCGTTCTCGTGGCTGCAGCGGGAGCTTGGACCGCTGTCGTGTTGGATGCGGCGGCTGGCGACGGCGGTGGTTCTTTGGTTTGTGGCGGTTCCGCTGCCGCTCCAAGAAGCATCAGCGTTTTGCCGTCAGTGACACCAACTTGGGAGAGCGTAGCGTCGTCCTTGGATGCATTGGCTTTGAGGCCCATAATTTTTTGCCGTTCCGCAGGAACCTGTGTCAGCTGCTGCAGCTTTTCCTTGAATGCCCCCACCGTGCTCTGAAGACTGACCGTAAGCTCAAGAAGCTCCTTGCCCCACTTTACCTTTACCGTCGCCATTTCCAAAGCACTTGCTTGAAGAATGATCTTACAATGTGTTGTTGTTTCTTTTAATCTTTGGTGTGTATGTGTGCGTGTAAATTCGTCCCGCCGCTGCCTCAAACCAATGCCGTGTAAAAGGGAAACAGAAACAAAGAAAGAAAAAAAAAAAACAGATACTGATAATAATAAAACAAGAAAAATTTACGAAATGAACAAAATGTGTGGCCAAAAAATCCCTTCATGAAAACGCGCGGCATTTCTTTGCACCTTCCAACGTTCCTCGGTTGTCTATCTCTCTCTCTCTCTCCCACTCATCCCTTCGCACCCCAATCGTCACGGGCCTGCTGGCTGCAATAATGACTGGCAAGTCACGACAATGGAAATGCGTCTCAATAACACCGCCACGAATAATAACGTCCCCAAAAGTTGGCAAACTTACAAACAAAAAAAAGAAATTCAATTTCTTTTTCTTTTTCTTTTTTTCTTTTGTGTCCACATCGCTCCAGACCCGTGGCAAGACGTCATTTTCATACTCTGAGGCGTTGCCGCTCAGCAAGCAGGAACAAAGTGGGAGCGGAACAAATGCAGACGCGGTTGTCGACGGATGGGGTCGAAGTGCGACTGCATAATTGCTGAAGAAACAGAGAGACAAAATGGCAGTAATCAAACAGCAGACACTTCAACGACAGACGCAATTGGGGCGTCATGAATGCCTCCTGCGCCGGTTTTGTAGCCTTCAGGCGTAAAGCTTTATTGTGCGAGATCCACAGGTCCTCCTCCCAAGTACCCGAATTCCCACCTGCGAGCCTACGGAAAACGCGGTCTCCCGTAAAGGAGCGTTAAATCTACATAACAACCCACAACGGCAAAGCGATGAATTTCCTCAGCGGAGATGGACCGTGCGGACCTTAGCGGCAGGATATCATGACAACGTGTATTTCACTGGCCCTGAAACAAGCCAGAAACACGCACACGCACACACAAAAAAAAAAAAACGCTCATCTCATGGCATTCTACAACAATAATATTGTCATCATCATTATTATCCACAAATAGTAATCGAGCTCCATCGCAGAAAATGGGACGCCACCTTCATGACATGCCGGGCACCGTAGATCCTGCGATTGCTACACAAATGAAAGCCGTTTGAGGAGCGTGAATTGTATCCACGACGGTGAAGCATTGGCAAAAATGGGAATCTTTGGTTGGACCGTAGCAGATATAGAACACACGACTCCTCGAGATAACAAAAAAAATAAACTGAGACAAATTCAATCCAGACAAATTCTTCTCCTTGTCGTGCAAAAAGCTCCAATGGGGATTTGTAAATCAGCTGGAAGGTACTAAACAATGTGCCACAGATGCCTTCCGTCAAATGATAGACCGTCCGGCAAGAATTAGTAGTACAAGAGCCTTTTCGTCTCCTCCACAGTCGCAGCGTGGCACGGTTCACACACCACATCTACTGGGCGTAGCAGGGGGTGGAGTCTCGGCGAGCAGTCAATTTTCCCGCCAACTCCACCGCCCCCCTTTTCCAAAGTTGCACTGACGTCATTCTCCGTAAGTGAAATTTATGGGCAATACAAAAGGACAGTTTCGGTCACAAAGGCGATACATTCTCTGCAGCTATTGGTGCACAAGACCTCTCGGGTGCAATGTTGATGGTGGCCTCCCCTCCTGCGGCACCTCAAGAAACAAAGAAAAGTCATCGTTTGGCACCGTCATTTATCCCCCCGTTCACAGAAGCGGTGCGCCCCATGAACCAAGCGACGTGCGGGACGCTCGCAGTAGTCGGCAATCCATCGCCAAAAAAAGGAGTGGCGTCCACAAGACCCGACAAATCCATGCGACATGGAGGAAACGTTGGTCACCTCCTAAAAAGACGTCTGGGACATTCACACGAACCACGTGGACGGCGGCGTTGGCACTGTCCCAGCGAAGTGGCCCCACTAAGAAAAAATGTGTCACGGAGGATCCACAGACGTCCTCCGTCTCATGCTTAATGGTGTAATCCAAATTTTCTGCTGAACTCCATGAGTTTATTCAGCATTCAGTCGACTGGAGGGTGAAGACCAACAACTCCTGTCCAGCTCCGTGGAAGCGCCACGTGTGCTCTGCAGACACAATGGCTGCCTCACGACTGCTCCCCGCACCCCACGAAACGCACCAAGTAAAATGGCGTTTCCTTTTCGCACTGCAGACGCGTCCATGTAAAGAATACTCTGAAGTAAACTCCGTCAACATTAGCGTTGCCACACGTTGGGAAACAAAAAGCAACCACAAATAAAACGGCAGTGGAGCGCTGATGATGCGGCAAGACATCGCACCATATTCATGGAATATCCAACAGGAAATATGAAAAAGGTTAGGATAAAAGAAAAAGTATTTGGGTTCGACACGTCTTCAATTGTCGTGTGCGTAAAGGGGACTCTAAAGAAGAGGAAAGAAGCATCAGTTGCACTTTCAGCATTCTTGAGAGAATGTGCTTCCGGCCGCTTCCATCCCACCGCGCAGCCCGCCACCACTGCGTAGAGGTTGGCGGATGACCATCCAGGCGCAAAACCTCCTTCGCTGAGTGTACGCCGGCGTGTGCAAACGACATAAAAAGGGGACGACTGCCAGATTTTTGTACGCGTATCCACGGTCTATGGGATTCCGTCCCCACCAGCGTGCACGGCACGCCCAACTCATGCAGGGCCACCGTGAGAAGAACGTTGAGAAGAAATACCGACGCCCGTCTCTTGCGAAGGAGACTCAGAGCAGTGAGGTCCTCCGCAGCTCGCTCACTAACGTCAAAGCCACGCTTCCACAACGACTCCACTGCGGTTTCAAGAGACGATGGACGCCCATCCAGCCCGTGCCGTCCTACAGATGACGGCGTGGGAGTTGCCGCCACCGCTTCCTTCATTTCATTCACCAACAGCCGCACTTCACCTCGTATCCTAGAAACGATGTCACCCAACTCCCCTGCATGCGTTGGCTCCTCGTTCTCAGCCTGCTGCAGTGCGGCACTCAAAAGCGCAACCCCATACAACATCTCATACTCGCCATCGAGGCAATAGGCATTCCAAAGAGAAAGCAGCTCCAAATCAGGCAAAGACTCCGTGGCGTCCTTAATGAAGGAGAAGCCGCTGGCTAAAGATTCCGCACTCAATGAGGCGCTAATGAAGGCCTTACGGAGAAGAGCATGAAGGGATTCGCCCTTCCTCACCTCCACGGTGCAAGGGAGAAACTCGGCATAGCGCTCTAATGCCAGTTGCTCAGCCCCTACACGTTTAATGGACGCCACAATCTTGAGCATCCGCCGATACATCGATCGAGCCACTCTAGCGGACATGGCACGCCAAAAAGAAAATGGCCTTCACGACAATAAATACGGGAGGGAAAAAAAATCCCTCTTCCGCCCCCCTTCTCGGCCCTTTCCCACAAAATACAAAAATTGGAAAGCAGAAAACCACACACACAAAAAGAACAATGTTAAAGCCGCAAGACCGTGCAAAGACAACAAAAAAAAAGTGTTCGCATAAAATAACCCAACAAAAGAGCAGAAAGGGGGTAAAGGTGATGGAACAGACACAACCATACATGCACACCCCAAAAACAACAACAACAACAAGAAAAAAAATAAGCGGCCCATTTGTGCTTTGTAGATTATGTCTATATTCAGAAGTTAATCATCCTCGTTTCAGATAATTGAATTAGATATGGTGCATGCACTTAAAGCGGTCCTGTGCCAAGACGTGGAAGAATGGCCATGGACATAAGCTCCTGAAACAAGAGCTTGCATGCATATGGCATAAGGGTCTGGGAAATACGTGTGTCGTTATCACAACCTTGGCACTTGTAAACATTTTGTTCCGTGTCGGCAGCACAAATAGTTCCGCAAATATTGCAGACATGAACCGAGTAGTAATCACTCACACGAAAGAGACGCTCTCGAAGCCACTGGGAAGCACCGTAGGACAACATACAGTCCCGCTCCATCTCACCGAAACGCAGGCCCCCTTCGTGTGCACGTCCTTCTGTGGGCTGACGTACCAGTGGTTGAAGTGGTCCACGAGGCCGTGCGTGAATCTTGTCGCCAGACAAATGCTTAAGACGCTGATAGTAAGTAGGACCAAAAAAGATAAGGTGATCAAGAGGCGACCCTGTATGGCCATTGTATAAGCACTCATTGCCGTAGCGCTGAAACTTAAGCTGATGGAGAGCCTTTCCAAAGTCTTCAACAACAACAGAGCAAAAGGGCGTGGCGTAAACTTCACTTCCTTTATAGCACGCCACCTTGCCTGCGAGTGTCTCAATAAGATGCGCCACAGTCATGCGTGAGGGAATGGCGTGTGGGTTAATAATCAAATCTGGAACAATTCCGTCACGGTTAAAAGGCATGTCTTCCTGACGGAATTGAATACCATTTGTGCCCTTTTGTCCATGACGACTGCAGAACTTATCCCCAATGTTTGGTATCTTAATGGTGCGAATCTTCACCTTGGTAAAGCGATTGCCACTGTTTTCTGTGAGCATTACCCTTTCAACCACGCCCTTTTCTGATGTTCGCGATGCAATGCTGCAATCCCGTTTAAGGAGACGTGTATCGTTCAGGGCAGCATTCTCCAGCTTCGCCTCGGAAATAGGAATGGTTTTACCGACAAGAATGTCGCCACCCATAACAGGCATGCCCGGTTTGATAAGACCATCCGCGTCGAGTTTTGTGTAGTCTGCACGTTTCACACGACAAATCTTACGGTCGGGATTTTCAAACGTCTCACGAACATCTTTTTTTCGCTCCTCAGTTGCCTTGTAGGAGCGCCAGAATGCGCTGCGGAAGAATCCACGCTCCACAGCAGAACGACTCATAATGATAGAGTCCTCTTGATTGTATCCCGAGTAGCAGGCGATGGCAACCACCGCGTTGTGCCCAGCCGGGAGGTCATTGCTTCGCATGTACGACATAGCCTTCGTTCGCACAAGTGGTTTTTGAGGATAAAAGAGCACATGTGCTGTTGTGTCCATACGCATGTTAAAGTTTGACGCGTATATCCCCATGGCTTGCTTTCCCATAGCCGATTGATACGTATTACGTGGGGACTGATTGTGGTTCGGGTAGGGAATGATAGAAGCGCAAATGCCAAGAATCATCGACGGGTCCATCTCACAGTGGGAGTAGTAGTAATTCTTGCTCACCTCCGTCATTGTCATGGCGATAAGGAGCGAGTCCTCTTCTTCGCAATCAATAAGTTCCACGTATCCCTTCTTTATGATACGATTCCAAGAAATTTCACGCTTTCCACCAGGGGTCTTGGACGGCTCAAGAAGTTCCCCAATGCCAGTCTTCTGCAACTTGATGCGGGACCTTTCCACGACAAACAGCGGGCGCAGACACCTGCCGCCATCGGAGAAGACACGAATCTCTCGATCGCGGATGTCGCGTACAATGCTCACCTCGTTGCTAAGCTCCCCACCACGACGTCGAGCACGTAACTCGCGAAGGAGACGCTCCGGATCGCGATGCACGCCGATTAGTGTGCCATTCACAAACACTCGAGCAACCCGCACATCGGCAAGACCTGGAAGATCAATCGAGTGAAACCCGGTAATACGAGCCTGTACAGCCTGCACAACGCCCGTATGATCGCTGCCACGAGAAATAAGGCACATAAGGGCCAGATTTTTCAGCAGACCAATAGAGCCACCCTCTGGGGTTTCCACCGGACAGATGTAACCCCACTGGGTACAGTGCAGGTTGCGTGGTTTGGTGGCTTTGCTGGAGGCAGAGATGGGATTTTGAATGCGGCGTAAATTACTTAGTGAAGAGGAATAAGTCAGCCGGTTGAGTGTTTGAGCCACGCCTGTCTTGATGTTACCAGACTTCATATCTCCAAAGTTACCCGTTGCCAAGCAACGGCGCAATCCATCCGTGATGAGGCGACTGTGCAGAATTCTGCCAAAGCTGACAACACCACCGCGGTTGGTAGAGTAATCATGCACTGTTTTTGCCATCTCCTTCCGCACCCTGACAAGAAATTTGGTTTCAATTGAAATGTAAGCAGTGCCCCGGCAACATCAATACGTTTATGGGCCCAAAAAGTCACGGTCCGTGTCTTCCCTTCTTCCCAGCGCGAGTAACAAAAGACGATGAACCATGTATCCAATGAAGAGACATTTGCTCCGATCGGCGGCGCAATCCACACCCATATGCGGAAGCAGATCCCGCATCAACAACCCCTGCGCGTCACGCTGCAA